GCCAGAACGAGCGTGTGAACATATTCTTATTCTTTACATAGTTTGAATAGTTACATCTATGTCTTGCCATTCTTTGACGTAAAGTTTCACAAGTGCTACCAATATAACATTTGTTATATCCTATGTTTGTGATTTTATAAATTTTATCATTATGATATTTATTTGTATCCATATTTATCTTATATTATCTTTTTTTATATATGATTTGTCGAAATTCGGTAGTGGCCATAAGGTAAACTTCTTACACTATCTAAATAATAACGCTTATTATCGTAGGAAGACAAAGCTTGTTTAGTCTGTTTTATAGAATATATTTGATGTTGTTTGCTTCTTATACTGTTAAAAGTTACAGTATCACATTCATTATTATTCAATGTTTCTAAATACTTAACAAAATTTAATTCTTTCTTTACTTTATGTTTAACAATACCTTTTGATTTCTTTTCTTCTTTGTCTTGTTTATAAACTTTGAATGAATAACTTTTAGGTTTTAATCCTATAAAGTGTGTTATTATTTTTCCATCTACTTCATCCTTAAAGCATCCTAGTTTTTTCTTATTAATCGGGTCATAACATTTGTGTTCTTTATCATAACCGCTAAAGTCCATATGTTTACTTATATCCTTAAAATCTTCATATATGTCATCAGTTTTTATGTGGGTTACAAAACTATCTGTGTCAGTATATATCAACCTAATATTATCTTTATACTTCTTCTTTAAAATATCATAATAAAACTTATACATATGTAACTTACTTAAATCTAATATACTAACTCCTACATATATAGGTTTGTTTAATTTTACCGTGTCCTTTATCTTTTCAACTCCTACTAAGTTTTCATTAATTATGTGTCTGTATTTATAACAAGGGTCATTAACTACCTTTTGAAAACGTTCTGGTGTATCAACTAATTCAAAGTTAATGTGTTCCCTTACATTTTCCATCGTTTTGCCGTATACCGCATTATTCATTAACTTATACATATCTTTCTCAAAGTCACTAGTTGCTTGTTTTCTTTTATCAGTGTTAAAATCAATCCATGGTTTCAGCCATGCTTTTTGAGAAAACGAATTGTTTTATTTACCTTCTTTAGTTTCATTCCTTGTTGTAAATAGTATTTTAATATCTTTATGTTTAATACATAGTTCTGTTTATCATTAACATTTAATATAAGTTTTTTGGTTTTTTCATCTCTTGGTTCTTTATTATAGTTATATGATTTATATATTTTCTTCTGCGTTGCACTTAACATATCAGCGCTTACGTTCATAATTTCAGGGGCTAGCGGGTAGTCACTATGATAATCATGTATGTTATCAGGATACTCTAAGTCAACATCCATAATATAACCTACTCCTAAGTCTTCATATTCCATTATATCGTTAAGTTCCATTTTAGAATCAATGAATTCAAGGTCTTTATATGGTAATTTTTGACACATCGCTAGTCCATATAAGTTATTAGCATCAAGATAATTTATATATGAGCTAGGCTTACTTTCATCATATAATTCATTCATATATTTATTATTGGCTTCTGCTTTTCTATTAGATACTTGACACATACCACCACGAAGTCCTCTCTCAACCATTTTATACATATCCTCATCATATATTAAATCTAAAGTTATACCAGTTTTTAGTAGCATAGCATCCCACGCAAAATTAGGTAATGTAAAATAATGTGCGGGGTCTAAATCATAATCTTTTAAACACTGAGTTCTAAAGTTTTCAAAAACATCTGTTAATAACAGCACATCAGTTTTTAAATACAAGTCATGATATTCACCTAAGTTTTTAATGTTAAAATGCTTCCATATATGTGTTGCTCTGTTATAATCTTCATCTGTTATATCTTCTTCAACTAACTGACTAAAGAATTCTTTTTTACTTGGTAGTTCTGTTTCATTGAACTTGTTAAAATCATTCATGTAGTCATAAGGATAAATACCCTTATCCGTTAGTAAATCTAAATCATAATCATCTTTAACATATTCACTCATCTTACTGTATTTAAAATGCTTTGTCCAGTCAGGTCTTTTTTCACTGTCTTCATATTTAGTTAGTTTAACTAGCTTATCTAACGATGAAGATAAGAAACTAAAACTATCTTTAAATTCAATTTGCTTAATTGAAAAGGTAACAAATTTCTCACTATTCTGAGCGATTACATTTATATTGTCTTTTCTGGTATTTAGTTTATCAAGATTTGTTATAATTAAATGAGCGTCATAATTTTTAAGGTTATGGAAGAATACCGGTATTTTAAAGTATCTGAAAGAAAAATCTAAATTACATTTGTTATGAGCACAACCTCTATATTTACCCGTAAAATGACAGTGGTCTTTAACTTTCTGTTTATCTTTCGTACCATTAAATGAACCTCGACAAATATGACACTTTTTACATTCTCTAAATTGTTTTTCTTCTTCATCTGTTAACCATGGGTAAAGGGTTATTCATTTTTTCCATAATATCATCTCTTATTTCATTCATTTTATCACAAAATACATTCATACAATCCTCACCTCTGTATAAATAAGGCTTAACTTCATCTGTAATAGAATTAACAACATTTATCATAAATCCTGATGGTTTATGATTTTGATATGTTCCTTTTAATCCTTCATTTGATAAAGTTGTTAAACATTCAAAATCACCATAAATAACATATGGACATCCCAACTTTTTGTAATGGTTTTTGAAGAACATTTTTTCAGTATTTTCGGGCATCTGTGTTGTTTGAACCTCGTTAGCCATACAACCTTTAGTAAGATGATTATGCAATAAGTTTTCTTTTGTAAATCCCTTTTGACAATAATGACAATAAAATTGTTTATTTGTTTTTTTATTTGTTTGTCCTCCTAAAAGTCTAGAATAGTCTTTAATAAAAACATAATGGCTTCCCTCATCATCATCAAGACGAAGAAGGTTAACATGACATATAGGTTCGGTTATTTTTGTAACTCTATCTACTCGTATTTTTTGATTATCTACTATATAAACATTTATTGAAATTTTCTGTTTATTTATTTGTTCAAAATAATCAATATCTTCATTTGAAGCTGGAAAATTAATACCTTCCCATTTTATTATGCTATCATTTTCAAAAGGTTTATATTTACATTTTCTACAAGGATGGTCTTTTTTATATACTTCAAAAAATTTACATAAAACACAGTATTTGAAACAAAATTCATCATTGTTTTGAATGTTAATGCAAGCCTTCTTTAAAGCAATCCATCTAGGTAGTTCAATAAACTTACCCGCTCTTGTCGGGTCATATTTATCATAATGAAATGTTATTTTGTTTATTTTATGAAGCTTTAAATCAGACCTATAAAAATTTTTATTTTCTACGCTTATTTCTATATCTGATGTCATATTATTTATTGCTTTGTTTAAGTCTTCTTCGTTTAATATATTATATCGTCGTGAACGAATACTAGCAACAAAATCCTTATCTTCATCTTCTAAATGCTTAAACTGAACGGATACATCAACTAATAGTTTCATACTTTTGTTTTTGTTTAAATATTCTCTTAATCTAGGTTTTTGATAATATATGTGAGTTAATCCTGCATAGCCTAATTTTTGAATGTTTGTTATGGCATATGTGTTAGCATAAGCTTTTAAAGCTGTAAATACGTTAGTTCTTGTGCCGAATGTTGATATAGAATATCGTTTTAAAGGTTTTCTTACTGCTATCCCCTTAGATGCTTTATCAAGTATATTAAAACGTTTGTAACCTGGTGTTTTTTCTACTTGTTCTAGTTTATTTATAAGTGTTCCTGAAAAAGGTTTTGATGGATTATATGGGTTTCTTTATCATCTATAATAACTTTTTTTAATTGTTTACCGTCTTTATTTGTTTTAATTTTACCTACATCACTATTTAAAACATATTTCATTACAGATTTTTGTCTATTAATATCCATATTATTATAATATAGATTTTCTTTTAAGTAGTTTTTTATCTCAGTTTCGGGGCTGGGGCTCTCCATACCCTTTAAGGTGGCTTCTCCTTAAGTAGGGGCGCTGGCGCGGGCGTGGGCGTGCGGGCGTGGGCGTGCGGGCGCGGGCGCGGGCGCGAACCAAATACCTAAACCAGCCCCAAAAAATAAAATCATTGAAAAAAGGAGCGCTTTTTAACACGAAGGGAAAAGAAGCGAGGAACGAGCTCGCATGCTAATCGCGACAAGACGAAAAGAAAAAACAATAAAAATAATCGGGTGCGCTCCTTTTTTTACAAACGCGCCTAACCTAAACCAAGCCACAACAACCCTGAACGCTAAACCACAAAACCCTGAAAAACCCTGAACACTAAACCACAAAACCAAGCGGAGGAGGGCGCACCGTTGCGTTGTCGTTGTTGTAGTCGGCGTCGTTGATGAAGAGCAAAACCTGTCATGTTTGTTGTCAAAGTTTTCTTTATTACAAAAGTTCATAGGGTATGTTGGGGAACATTGGATTTATTTTTTGTGGTCTATGATATTATTATTTTTTAGAATTTTATTGTATTTTGTATGGGAATTCCCACTACTTTTAAGGTAGACAGTAATTTTATGCATAATACATGCATTCATCTTATGATTTAGGGCTTTAGGGGTTTAGGGTGATAGCAAAAGCCACGCATGCACTTTCACAGCAGTCCGAACAGCAAAAGCTCCAAGGAAGTCTGGCGATACACAAAAGCCAAGGCTTAAATGCTCCACGCCGTGCCTGCTCATAGCAAGGCAACCAGTGCCATAACCAAAGAGGTTTCGAGTTATAACCAAAGAGGTTTCGAGTTATAACCAAAGAGGTTTCGGGTTATAACCAAAGAGGTTTCGGGTTATAACCAAAGAGGTTTCGAGTTATAACCAAAGAGGTTTCGGGTTATAACCAAAGAGGTTTCGAGTTATAACCAAAGAGGTTTCGAGTTATAACCAAAGAGGTTTCGGGTTATAACCAAAGAGGTTTCGGGTTATGGCACAAATTTCTGACGGACTGAACCTATCAGTCGCGCATCTCAGAAGCAGTCTTCGCACGAAGCTTGGTCTCAATCTCTGCCATTTGCTTGAGCTTCGCCCAATCCATGTTGCCATTGTCCTTCATCGCCGAACCAAGAATCACGAGCTGAGCAACCGAAGCAACGGAGCTCAAAGTGTCATCCAAGGCTTCTTTTGCTTCAATGAGCTGGGAAACGTAGCCGTTCAAGAGCTTATCCGAGAACTCAGACACACGAGCATCCGGTTTCGTTGTCTTGAACTCAAAGAGCGAGCCGTCTAATGTATCGGAGTCCAATTTGGACAGCATTTCCTCAAGCGTCTTGTCGGGGTTGCCCTGGGAGGAGACGTAAAGCTTCTCTGCAATAGCCTTGCCTTCGGTGATAAGGGTCTTGATGGACATGTCAGGTGTCTTGTCGTATTTCTGAACGATGGTGGCGTTGGTCTGCACATCTTTCGTCTTCACCTGCATCGCCGAAGACTTTGATGAAAGCTCCTTCTTGATGAGCTTGATGGTCGGCTTAGCACCACCCAACATTTTGAGCTGGATGTAGAACCTCTGGCCGGGGAGCGCATACGAGCCAAGATGGTCATAAATCATGAGGGTTGATGCCCCCTCTTCGGTGTCCCACTTGAAGGAAAACTGGTCAGGTGTTAGCCCAGTCTGCTTCTCAAACTCGTCGTAGAGCTTCTTCGCGGGAGTCGTCTTGTCAAAGAACACATCGCAATGGTGGCGTCGCTCAAGGTAGAGAGAACACTTGAGAATGGTCTCGCCCTCCACGTTGAGGTGGAGGTCGTCAAAGCCCAAAGGTGTTTCATCTCCCTGCTTTAGCGCTTCAATCTCCTCCTTCACTTTCTCGTTAATGTAGCCCAGAACCGCCTTAGCATTCATGATGGAAATCTCAGGCTTGTCGTCGGCAAAGAGCTTCTCAATCACGGAGTTCAAGACATGGGATGCCTCGGACTGAATGAGGGCCGTGATTTCCTGACGCATCTTGTCATCACCTCCAACGATGGAAATCAACAGCTTAGAGAGCAACATCTTGTCGTAAGAACAGAGGTCGTCAATGTCTTCATGCACGCCCTTGGTGTCGTCGGTGAGTGGAGGATTCGCCTCCAGCCCCTCCACGAGCTTTTCAGCGACCAACCAAACACGTCTGGCCTTTATGTCACGGCTTTTTATCCGCACTCCCATTTTTGCTCCAATCTTTGCCAGATCATCCCGTGACTGGGTAGCGTCAAGAAGACGCGCAATCTCATCCGGGTCGCGCATTATGAAGCGTTCCATCGCATCACCAGTAGTGGCAACCTCTTGGAACACCTCGTCAGGCATTGAGTAGGCGCGATACACGCCAGTGGATTGCTTGAGTGCCACACAGAACGGCATGTCCGAGAGCACTGAGCAACAGGATGGGAATACCGACGAGAGGAGCTTGAGCGATTAGACACTGCTGATACAACAACAGCCATGTTCAGTTGCTCAAGATGCGCGAACTTCACACATGCAGACAGTCGCTCGCAAAATCTCTGCAAAGAAAAACAAGCAAGGCTGACCTTCCGATGATGTCGCCGTAGATGTTGTAGCCACCACATAAAACCTAGACATAATATTATACATAATACCCCGATGTAAACCGACTAAGGAAGGAAACTAATGCCTAAGATTATGATGTAAGATAGCATAAAATATCGGGATAGGGTAATAGATAAAACTTATACAAAACTTTATGATAATAAACCATCATAAGTTGTAGGTAATTAGAATAATTCAAAAGTTACCCCAAAACTACATAAAGATTTTCTATTAGGATACAACAAAAACGATAACGAACAAGATAGACAAGTTAAAAAACAGTATAGGGGCCTATATAGGGGGTATGGGGATAGCCCTAGAACCAACCTTTTACTAATTTTTTACCCCGACCTTGGCGTGGAGCCTCTTTCTACGGACGCTCCCACGTTGTCAAGGCCGGGCTTCCTATGTCTGATGCAGCTACTGGCGAATGGGTTGGAAGCCGAAGACAAGTGGATGGTTACAGCAGGCGACATTCAGTGTGCCTTCCTGACGGGTGGCTACTTGTCACGCGGGGAGGATCTGTTCCTCCATCAACCCCGCACGGGCTTCCCGGGACTCTTGCCCGGGCAACTGGTGAGGAGCAAGAAGAACATCTTCGGTCTGGCCACCTCGCCCCACGAATGGGACTTTGCAGGGCGGCATGGGCAAGGCCAGAGTCAGCTACCACGGGAAAGAGTATGCGTTTGAGCAGTGCGCGTTGGATCCATGCATTTTTGTCCTGAGAGAGCACTGCCAAGGGAAGTTCAGCGGGAAGCCAATCGGCTACGTTGGAAGCCATGTGGACGACTTGCTCATCGTGGCGGGTCGCAAAGTGAACAAGCTGATTCAAGAGGCCTTGTCACGGGCCTTTCCCATCGAGAAATGGGAGGAGAATCACCTCGACTACATCGGGAGCGAGATCATCTGCGGGGATGACGAGGTGATTGTCACGCAGCGAAAGTACGCGGAGACCCGCTTGTTCGATTTAGAGATCCCGAAGGGAGTCAGTGAAGAGGACCTTGCAGGCCCCGACCTGATTGCGGACAACCAGTCCCTTATCGGGGCACTCTCGTGGCTTTCGGCCCAGACACGTCCGGATCTGACGTGCAGTGTCAGCTTGGCGCAGCAGCTGCAGAAGGCCCCGACGATTGCCGATGTCAAGTTCACCAACCTGATCTCGGCACGGGCGGTGCTCTACAAGGACGAGGGCCTACGGTTTCGCCCGATCCCGGACGAGCACTTCGGGGTCATCGTCTACCACGACGCCGCCTGGGCGAACGCCATCTTGGAGGACGAGGCCGACGACTACTTCAAGCTGACCCCTGAGGATCACGAGGCGGGCCTACAGAAGGAGGGCCCTTTCGGAACCAATCGCGAGAGAAAGGCCAAGAGGATGAACTCAAAGGTGGCATCACAGGTCGGAACGCTCATTGTGTTCGCCGACATGAGGTGTGTGAAGGGCGATGCCGGCAACTTCTCCATTGGTGATTGGAGATCGCGGGCAGGCCAACGGGTCTGTAGATCTACTTTCGGGGCCGAGACGCAAGCTTGTGTCGAGGGCCTATCTAGAGGGTGGGCAGTACATGCGATCCTTCATTGAGACTTTGAAGGAGGGTGCTCTTGTGCGCGTCGAGCACGCGCGAGCACACATCTTATGCCTCTCCGACTGCCGGTCCCTCTTTGACCACATCCACAAGCAAGGCATCCCACGGGTCCCGACGGACCGAAGACTCGCCATAGACCTTGCTGCCCTACGACAAGGCTTGAGAAGTGAGCGATGGAGCGACAAGTTGCCGCTAGGATGGGTGCCGAGTAACCTACAACACGGCGATGTGCTCACCAAGCCCACCGATCCGAAGGGTTGGTGGGAAGTGCAACATGGGCGGCTTTCGGTAGCAAAGTCAACAACAATTTTGATAGAAAGAGAACCAGTGTGGAGCACAAAGTGTGTATCGGACAATCTTGCAGTGATCGTATGAGCCCTTGTGATAATCGTCATTGATTCTGTATCGCTCCACATGCACCCCAAACTCTGAACATAACCCCGGCCCCAGACCCCCAAACCCTAACCCCAAACCTAGGCTAGGCTAAGGCCCCAAACCCAACCACCCCAAACTCTGAACATAACCTGGCCCCTTAAGCCCTGGCCTCTCCTGAACCCTCCCCGCCCCCTCTTGCTCCTCATGCTGGCCTTCGATTCGACGACTTCCACGACATGGTTGGGCCGGGGGCTCTAGAACTCAGACTCAGGTTTAGCCCACGATGGAGGCCGGGGTTTCTTCAGTGGTTTTGGGTTTTTTTCGGAGCGACCGTTATAGGTCGCACCCTCGTCCGCTATAGGACGAGGCGAGTCCGCTAGGACTAAGGAGTCCGTTAGGACGCAGCGTCCACTAGGACGCTAGGACGGTCGCCCGGTAGGGCGGTCGTCCGAGGCCCCCAAGATTCCCTAGCTAGAGGTTCGCGTATGATAGCTAGAGTTGAACAGTTTTATCATTGTTGTTCCTATGAATGAATCCCACCCAGTTTTTTCTGTGTCTGAGGCCTCTCCAAGTTCCGCGCTGCTGGTTTCTCCGTTCAGAAGCAGGACTTCACAGGGTTTTTTGAGCCGAAGCTTTAAGGTTTAGGCCTGTAGTAAAACTGCGATCTCTTACTTCGCAAAGTGCTAATTAAGGTTGACATCCGGTTCGAGGTTGATGGGTTTGGGGTTCAAGGCTGTTCGGGGTCATGGGTTTCGTGGTTCCTGAACCCTTGCTTAGCCTTAAAGTGTCCTTTCGAGGTAGGAGACCTAAGAGCCCGAAACCCAAAAACCCGACCCCAAACTCCGCATATGTGCCATTTGAGGTCGCTCGAGCAGGTTTGCATGCCTAAGTGATGTCCCGGCGTATAGCCTTAATGAGTCAGATAGGGCATTGCACAGCCTGTTGCAACTCATCCAGGGCAGCTCTAATCATCTCAAGTACTGACGGCTTTAGAGGTCCATCACAGTCATTTCCCTCGCAATATATAAGGGTGAGAGCTCCTCGGTGCCTGCGCCATGGGTGGTAAGAAAGGCCCCGGAAACGAATTCCACCGCAACGTCAAGAACCATGGTCTCGCTCAGCATCAATCCTTTTAGGACTTCGGCTTCGGGGTTCTTGCATAGTTGGAGTTTAATATTATACTTTTTTTGCGGTAGACGCGGTAGACTATTACTTAGACTTAATATACTAAAGTCATTTTTTGACTTTTGAATTCAGGCTTCATACGCCATAGCGCGCTGGCACCGGGTTCACGGGGCGGGCAAGCCCCCCCCCCCCCATAAAGGCGAAAGGGGGGGGGGCCGTGAGTGCTGGTGGTGGTCCTCCTGCTGGCGGTGGTCCTCCTGCTGGTGCTGGTGGTCCTCCTGCTGGCGGTGGTCCTCCTGCTGGTGTTGGTGGTCCTCCTCCTGGTGCCAAGGCCTCTGCTCCTGCTGGTCCTCCCAAGACTTCTGAGCCTGTCACTGTGGCTGGATCTACAGCAAAGGTGGCCAGTGCCGCGGTTCCGATGGCGCAAGCAGCAGCCTCGGCCACCCCGACAATCCCGAAGGCCGCGCCGAAAGGTGTTGCGGCCACTGCTAAAAGGTCGCCCTTCGACCCCATACCCGGTCGTCGGGGGCCTTTCCTGTCTCAGCCATTCACCCCGCCGCCGCCACTTCCGCCGGTGGTCAACGTCACGGTAGCTCCCCCTGCACCTTCGGCCGCTCAGGAAAAGCAACAGGGCATCATTGCCCAAATGCTGCAACTTGGAGTTTAAAGTAGCTTGTATTCCATCCTGTTCTACTGTACTAGTTGTTTTATGTTTCAACTTTTAATTGAATAATTACTTACCATAGGCTTTCTTCTATTTAAATTTAGCGTCGCTCCCGCTTCCGAGGCAGCGGTGCCTGGCTACGTTGGAGGACTCGGAGCAACGTCGTCTCGAAGCCCACAAATGCAGTGTGGCAACGGACGTGAAAATAATGTTTCACAAGGCCGCTCTGATGTTTTAAATTCACTCTTAAGCCCGAACTTAGCTCTTCTTGTTTCCAATTCCCTGTATTGGACCAGGCCGATCTGAAGAAGAGTGGCCGCTCCGTGTCCAGCTGGGAGGACTACGAGGCTGACAAAGACATTGATGCCGCGGCCGCTCAGGGCATCTCCATGGCAAACGCCGAAAAGGCCATCACGAAGGCCAAAAAAGAGAAGAAGAAGAAGAAGAAGAAGAAGAAGGAGAAGAAGAAGAAAGGCAGCTCTTCATCGTCGAGCCCGTCTCCGCCCGCCAAGAAGCACAAGAAGGACGACAAGGATCCTGGCGGCGGTCCACCGAAGCGGGGGCGGGCGAACAAAGTAAGAGCATAGGCCGCTCTTTTTCTGGCCGGCCTTCTTGTGTCGGCTTTGGCCGATCTTCCTTTGGGCCAGCAGCTGGCCTTTTTTCAAGACGGCTTCTCCTGTCTTGTACGTTGGCCGACCTTCCTCGACTGGCATCCGAAAAAAGGCATCAATCCGGGCTTCTGGCGTTCAGGGCTTCACTCTATCAGACAGCTTTACGCCAAATGGTGGGGGTACATTGACGGGGAGAGGTTTGTCTGCTTAAGAACTCCACCCGAGAAATTGACCCCACAACTTCTGCATCCCCTGAAATCCAAAATCGAACAGATGCAACGTTCGCCTCAGAACCTTGGATCTCAAAGATTTACCCATGGGCCCAGCCCCATCAGCCCTTCTCGCTCCAGGACTGCCTCGCTGGCTTCTCTTCTGCAGGCAGGGTTCAGCCCTGAGCATTGCCTCACACTGAGAACAACTCAGGACGGGTTTCCTGGTCTCTCCTTCTGATCGGGCTGTGATGGTGGTTGGGTCCTGAGAGTCTTAAATTAAATACGAGATTAAGCATTGGTTCATGTTTAGAGATGATGATGCAAGGCTGGCTTCCTGGCCTCTCCTTCTGGTGGCCGGGTGCTGAGATTTGTCATTCCCCAGCAGCTGAGCATGCGCCTTTCACGAGCCTCCAGTTCCTGGCCTTTGCTGGTGGCCAGGCCAAACCCCTGTCGGCTTTGCTTTGCTCGGAGGCCAGGTTCACAAGGCTTCCGGACCTTTCTGACTGTCGAGTTGGCGTGACGTTCTCTTGAACTTGTGTGCAGGGCATGATTGGCCGCTTCCAGGGTCGCGGCCTCGAGGGGCCTCCGCCTGCAAGGATGCCGGGACTGAATTTAAACCTTTTGTGAGGCCTTCGCGAGGATCCAGAGCTCTTGCTGGAGGCTGAGAGAAGTCCAGTTTGAGCTTGGTATGATCCTGCCAAGTGCTCAGTCAGAGGTTGCCCAAGAGTTCTTTTCGAGTTGCCCGTGCATTTGCTTGGCTTCGCCTGACCCTGAGTCACTTTCTCCGAAGCCACTGCGAGTTTTGGCCGCGTGTTTGTCCGATGCCTCGTTTAGAGCAATAACCTCCGTCTGCTGCTTCCACACTGGTTCAAAAATCAGGGTCTCTCCAGTGACTTCCAGTCTCCGTCCTTGGGCCTCCCCTCTTCGATCATGGTGCGTGTCAATGCGTCGACCATGGCCATCGCGGACCTAGGCCATGCTATTAAGCAAGTTAGATAATGTTTGAAGTTTACTTTAAATTCTGAACCCTGTTGCCCTGTCAGACCCTCGTGTGCTGCATGGGCAGCACAAGCAGTTCATGATGAGAAAGCTGAGAGGGGAGGTCGCTCGGCATCGACCTCATGCCTATGCCATGTTGGTCAATCTCCCCGATGAGTGCATGCTGGTCTCTCAACTTACATTAATATTCGGGCTTTCTGGCGAACCTTTGCTTTGGTGTTCCTCGCTGTTTGACTTTCTTGCCCAGGCCTATCTCATCGTCATCCTGGCCAAGCACTCTGACGCTGGTGCGGCGAGCGCGGAAGACCTCATTCAGAGGCTGATCCGAGCCTTGGCGGCACTAGGTCCTTTGACTCCTTTATTACTAAGACTACTACAATGCCGCTCGAGGCCAGCATCTCGTGAACTTTGAGATGTCTCCTGGAGTACTGATCGTTCACTGCATCAGCGAGATCCGGCGTTTCCGCAGCTTGGCTTAAAGTTTAGACAGGTGACATTGCTTCAAGCATCCCAAGTCCCAACAACGCACTTCAACCCAGGAACGTACAGGGAGGCGCTCGCATGATCTCCTGGCCATCGGCCTCTCCGACGAGGCCAGGTTGCCATGCTTTGGTGCTCGGCCTCTCCGAAGCCGAGCTTGGAATCGTCGTCGGTCGTCACCTGGACAGGCGCCGAAGTTTTTTTTTGCGCACCTCCTGCTTAACATGGCCGGTCTCACATTGGCAGCTCGCTGAAGTCATGGTCGATTCCAAGCGGGCGACGGGAAAAAAGCGCAATGTCGGATTGCGTTTAATTTGAAATAGGCTGCGTGAGAACTCCTGCCGCCAGCTGCCGTTGTCACCATTGCTCAGGTCCCACATGGTCGCTCTCCGCATAGCATTGTCGAGGCGGGGTCAGGCACACTTCCCAAAGCAAGCTGGAGTTGCAGCTCAGTCTTCTTCCCAGGTCCTCAATGGAGCGATCCTGGCCTCTCCCTTCGAGGCTACAAAGGGCGGATGCTTCGTTCCGTTCTCTGCAGAAATCTTGTTGTGATACACAGGACGTTCAAGGCTGCGGTTTTCTCGTGTTCCTGCTGCAGCCTCTGGCTGGAGGCAAGCCAGCCTTCCTTCTGCCTTGCAGCTTCTTGGAGTGTATGTGCATGCTCGGACAATGAGCCACTTATTCATTGCACTTGCTCGCAAGGCCTTTCCTGAATTCTCAAGCTGGTTGCAAGATGCGTTCAGCAGGCACTCCCCTTGCCATACACGATTTACCAAGGCCCTCTATGTCGTTTAATATGCTCGGGCGCTCTTCCTCGTCGCAGACGGACGCTCCGCCTCTGTTCTTGACCGACGAGGAGAAGGAGGGGATCCAGCTAGATGCCATGGAAACCGCATCTAGGTCTAATTA